GGACAGAATCCACACGTGATCTCTATTTTCATCAGGGATCGTAAACATAGAATGTCCTTCGCTTTGCTTCGGACAATTACTTTAATAGGAACATAATTTAAAAAACACTTGAATTAAATAACTTAAATTGTAAAAAAACATTTGTAAGTAGTTTTTTTTTAACCTTATATTTTAAAAAAAACTTTTTTAATAGTAAGGGACATTTGAATTATATCCTTACCTTTAATTTAAGAATCTATTTTTAATTTAATTACACTTACATAAGGTTAAACTAATATTTTATAATTTGATCTATAGAGTATTAATTACTATATTATAGATTCACGGATTATTTTTTTTATTTAATATTTTTTTTTTTTACTTTTATATTTTTTTAAACTTTATTTCATATAATTCTAAGTATATATTTATAGCTACTTGACATTATCTTAAATATATATTAGTTTTAATATTTATTTTTCCTTATTGTTTAAATAATTTCTGTAAACAAACTAGTATTAGACTTACTAATTAATGGATTATATAAAAGATATTATTACTTTTTATATGTAAAATAATTTAAAATTTTTACAATAATAAAGAAATAATATTTATCTACTAAAAAATAATAATAATAATTAAATTAAATTAATATATTTTAAAAATTTTTATTTTAATATAACAATAAATTTCAATAAATTTCAATAATATAGTATTAATAAAAATTTATTAAGTAAATTTGTTTTTTATATTTTTATTATATTTTATCAATTATTTATTGAATTATAAATGAAAATATAAATTGAAAATTTGTTCAAAATTTTTTTAAACAAACTGTATATTAATAAAAATATAAAAAATATTAATATATATATTAGTAAAATTTATTGAAATTTATTATTATATCAAAACAAAATTTATTAAAATATATTGGTTTGATAATAAATAAATTATTTATAATAATTTAATTTATTAATTTATAAAATAAAAATAAAAATAATTAAAAAATAACTTTCATTAAACTTTAAATTATTTAATTAATTTTTTAATTAAAGAAATAATCAAAATTCATATTAAAATCAAAATTTAAAAAATTTTATAAAATAATAAATAAAATAATTTTAATAAAACAATTTTTATAAAATTAATTTGTACATTATAAAAAATCTTTTTATAATTTTTATAATTTTATAAATAGTTTTTTTAAAAATTATTTTTCCAACTACAATTTATATAAAAATTTATATAAATATAATTCATAAAAATTTTTTAATCAAACTTTTTTTGTTTTTAAAATTGAATTTTAAGATAAATTTATTAATGAAGTATTAAAAAAAACTTATTATTTTATTTTTTTACATTTTAAAAAATATATTTTTAAAATTTTATAGCAAATAAATAAATAAATATTTATTTATTATAAAAAATACTTGTCCAAAGACTTTTTAGACAAACTATAATTGTTTAACTGATAAATTATTATTTATAATAAACATAACTTTTTTTTTTATATTGCAAATAGGAGACTAAAAATAATTTTTAAATAAATATTCTGGAATATTCGAAACGCAATCCACTACGTAGTTTTCTGAAAATACGAAAGAATGATGTAATATCTTTCACGTGAATAAATTATATAAATTTAAGTGCCATGCCATTTGAAACTTTCTTTTCTAGGCATTATGAGTCTTGAAAAACTTTCGCGAATTGGTGTTGGAATGTATCGAATGTGTCTTGGAAATATTGAAAATCAAAAGGCTTTTATGAAAGCTTTAATAAAAGATACTGATAAAACTAAAATTAATGTGATTGATACTTCAACAAATTATTGTAAATATTAATTTTTTTTACAATTTATGAAATTTTACATTATTCAATCATCTTTAAATTTAGGTGATGGCGATAGTGAAAGATTAATCGGGGAAGTTCTTTCATCTCAAAATAAAAATTATTTGAGTCGTGAGGAATTGTGTATAGCATCGAAATTTGGTTACATTCAAGGAGAAAATCTCGCATTATACCATAACGGAGTGTTTAAGGTGATATATTGCAAATATGCATATTTTATTTTTTATTTATGATTTGTTTATTTAGAAATGTTAAATATAGAACATACCGAATGGAAACATTGTCAAATACATGGGAAATTGCTATCATTGTATTCACCCGGAGTTCATGAGGTAATTCCAAATGTTGAAAAAAAATTCGTGAAGATTTGTTCTTGATATATATGTTTGGACTTTTAGAGATCAATTGAATCGTAGTTTGTCTCGACTACAAACCAAGTATCTGGATATTTTGTTCATCCATAATCCTGAATATTTTCTTATCCACAATATTAACTGTTCCGACGAAACGAAAATTAAAGGTTAAATGCCTATAATAGTTGTTCTCACATATTTTAATTGTTATTGTTTGTCAAAATTCTGACAAAAAAAAAAGATTTTCGAAAACAGATGTTGGAAAGAATTGGTCAAACTTTTGAAGCAATGGAAGAGGTCTTAAAATTAGTATGCGTTTTTTACTATATGAAGTTTGACTATAAAGTGTAGTTATTCAGACATTTGACCTTCATACAAAGGGCCTTATTCGTTCCTACGGCATTAGTTCAAATAGTTTTTCTCTACCACATGATGACAACCATTTTCTTCCGTATGAAAGTTTGATTGACATTGCCAAGGGTGCAGCAAAGCGCGTTAGAGGAACAGAGAATCATGGATTTTCTGCAGGTATGCTCATCTACTGTATATTTTACTGTAAATATTTTAATATATACATGTTTGATTTTTTTAATTTCAGTGCAAATGCCGGGTAATTTGTTGGAACAAGTTGGGTTAAGGACTACTGCAAAATGGGCCAAAGAAAATGGACTAAAAGTAATTCATTAATAGTAAATTTATTGTTATGTGATCTATCTATTATGATGTCTAAAATATATTTCGCACAACTAAGCTTTAATTAAATTTTAAAAGGTTTTCATAAACAGACCACTTAATGCATTCAATAATGACGGCTCATTTCGCCTGGCCAGCTATCCAAAACCATCATATGACTATATCAGACAAACCACCCTGTCAAATCTGGAAACTCAAACTAAAGGTGACTCTGACGGTATAAAAACGACTTATAAATTTATTATAGATTTAGTTAAACAATTAGATAACAAACTTCCCGACATCGAAAATGTGTTTGACTGGGAATTCTACCGCCAATCTGTTAACGTTACATTAAGACAATTTCGTGGAAATTTGACCGTCAACTCAATATTGCAACCTTTTTTGGAGGCACTTGATGCCGAGGTTAGACATCGCGGGTCTCAACAAGTAAGAAAGTATTTGATCGAATGTCAAGGGTTCGATGCATTGGCAAAAAACGAAAATATATCAATTGAAGAGTTTTCCTTGGAGTTCTTACTCGAAAGTGGTGTGGTTGATGTCGTACTAATGGGAATGACTCGTGAGGTATAAAAAGTACTTCAAAATTTACAAAAAATATCAATATTTTATTATCATTACTCATTTGTGTATTTTTTTAATAAAGGCGTATGTTGATTTTGCGAAAAAAATGCTTTGCAAATTTCAAAATTGATTTGGGAATTGCATGTCTGCAAAACGAATTTTCTGGATTGTAATTATAAGGCTAAATTAATTTGCGCAAATTGATAATGATTAATTTATCACAAGTTAGTAATCAGGCTTGCGATGGAAAATCCATGAGAAAATTATTTACAATAGTATTTTATATTTAACAAGTACAGTTTTTGTTAAGATTTTTTTACAAATATGTAAGCAGTAGTCTGTAACTGTTGTTACTTCACTCATAAAATAAAAAAATCGAAGACCTTAAAAAAGTATATTCAATCTCAGTAATAGAATATTTTTATAATTTTAAATATACTGTATAACAATTTTTTTATTTTAGCAACAGTATTATTTGAACAGAAATTAGTATTTAGTATTATTAACATAAATATGTCTACTTTATATTAATTGGTATTAAAAAATAATTGTAAAAAATTACAACTTATTTTTATTTTTTGTAAAGATAATTATATAATAATTAAAAAATTTTTTTTGTTTAAATAAAATTATAAATTAATATTTATTAGTTAATAGAAATATATTTAATAAAATAGACCCATGGGTCTATAGTACAGTGGTTAATACTTTATGAATATATAGCACAATGGTTAGTATTATATAAGTCAGATTACAAGATACAGGTTTAAATTATCCAGAAAACTAATATAAAATCTCCAAATAAAACATAAGCAAATAAAATTTGTACTTAGTGATCTAATTGTAAATTAACCAATGTTTTTAAGTATAGTTATGGATTGTTTCTAATAATAAAAAAAGACTTATATAATTTTATAAAACCAAATTAAAATTGTTAGTAAGCTTACTAATCCTTAATACATAATTATTTTATCTTTTATAAACTTTATTATCAAAAGATTTTGATAAAATAAAAAATTTGTAAATTACTTTGAAAGATCAAAATTTGAAATTTGAAATATTGGATTTGATAGTTTAATAACTAAATTACTTTTAATACAAATAAAATTATCTTGAAAAAAATTTAAAAAAAATTATATATCTTTTTAAAGAAATAATAGTTGTATATAACATTATATAATATAGATCCATAGTATAGTGGTTAGTACTCCACAAATCAAATTACAATACACTAGTTCAACCTTATATAAGGATAGTTGAATAGAATTAATATGGTATCTGGTATATAATCTATAAAAAGTACCATTTTTCATGAAAAACCATTTTACTTACTGATCCAGTAGGTATTGTTAGTGGGGAAATTGTTTCAATAAGGTCTGGTGACATGACATTCATATAACACACCTAATTGGAGTAATGAAAATGCTTTAGAAATAGACTTATGATGTAATAAAAAGCTTAAATAGTTTATTTTATAGTCTAGTAGTTCATAAGTTATAAAGTTATAGTCCTATAGCAAATAGTCATAGTGATATAAATAAGAGAGGAAAAGAAACAACAAAAAAAAAAATAATTGAATAACTTAATTTTAATAAAATTTAATTTCCATTCTTGTAGAAGTGCAAAATAATTGTGCGAGTGTTAATTAAAAGTTACTATAAGTGATAGTATAATAAATACATCTAAAAAGAAAGTTACTAATTGACATATCTTCTGAAATAATATCATCGCGAGAGGATTGTTCCAGAAGTCACTAATGAGGTTTGTGACTCGAACTATCAAAGAAGGATGACAAGAGGAAGAAAAGAGTAAGTAAGTGATAGTTTAAGATCGGTTAAGTCAAATTCATATCTCAAGTAGAGAAAAAAAGAATAACCTATTTTGATATTACATAAGTTTAACCTGTCACAAGTGACAGACTCACCATTTTAATGTCAACAATATTAAGATTGTAATTTTTAGAAAATGTGTTGTAACATGAAAATTATCCAGTTAATGTTATAATAATTGTCAGGTGTTGCAAAGTATATAAGGTATTGGTTTTTAATAAGTAGATTTGGTGATCACTTCCTTAATATCTGATGTCTTTTATATAGATTCTTGTTCTATTCTTATCTTAATCTAGTAATAAACCAGTCTGGTAATACTTATTCTGAGAAAACATCTAATAATAAAACCTGCTCTGTGCAAAGTTATATAAGTCACTGTTCAAGCAATAAGAACTATACATGTGTTCATAATTTAAATATTTTTCAAAAACTGTATTATATTTGTATTACTAAGTAACAATTAGTAAATAATTGAGAATTATATTTAATTCGAAATTGTATTATCAATCAAATTTTCTTTTATAGTAATAAAGAAACATGTATAGTAAGAACTAATTATAAGTTTATCTTAAATATTCTTGGATATTATTTGGACAGATAAGAAATTAAGTGGTTACTCAGCTACAGGTAATAATAAAAAAATTTATTCTTAATGAAATAAGTAGAGATTATGTAGTTTTATTTATTATAAATATTACCCCTAGTGCCTCTTTTTAAAAATGGGTCCCTAAATTAAAGGCAAGAACATAATTCAAATGTTCTTCACTATTAAAAAAGTTTTTTTTTAAATATAAGGTCAAAAAAAAACTACTTACAAAGGTTTTTTGCAATTTAAAATATTTGATTCAAGTGTTTTTTGAATTATGTCCCTATTAAAATAATGAATAAATAATTATGTCCCTTTTGAAGGGACATAATTAATCTGCGAAATTTTATATACTAAATAGTTTAGGGACCCATCCTTAGCCTCTTTTCAATTTTTCCTTAATTCTTCTTCAATAGAAATAAAGCTTAACTATTAATGAAAATACATGTTACTAATCAAACAAAAAAAATTTTTTGTTTAGTAGATTAGCCTCTATACTTGATATAAATTAGAAACAAGCTATAGTAAATATCATTATTTGAAATAATACTGATAAGAGTTAATTATTACTATTAACTAATATGTTATTGTATTGTTTTAAATAAATATAAACATTATTCTTAGATATAACTTTTGATTAAACAATTATGCTAGTGTACAATAAAAAAAAATAAATAAAAAATAATATTATATAGTATAAATATATATATATATACAGTATATATATATTTTTAAACAGATAATTTACACCTTTATTCAAATTATATTGAAATATACATTAATTTCCTTGTTGATACTCGATGCATCTAGAGGTAACTAA